AAACCGGCTCTCCAGGGGTCCTGGATTGTGAGAGGGTGCAGGTCAGGCCTAGGGACTCCACCGGGGCACGATTGGGGCTGGGGAGGGATGCAGGAGGTACGTCATAGTGAGTGGTTGAATGGCGTTAGCATATCATTAGCATATTATGCTTTGATTGGTTGAATGGATGACTGGACACAGCATATTAGGCTTTTATTATATAGGATTTTTATTGATTTCAGAGAGGAAGGGAGAGAGAGAGAAAAACATTAATGATGAGAGAGAATCGTTGATTGGCTGCCTCCCACACATCCTACATTGGAGATCGAACTGCAACCTGGGCATGTGCCCTGACTGGGAATTGAATGTGAATTCCTGTTATTCCAAACACTCAAGCCTCCAGCAGAATTCCTGTAATGGTTAGCATATCTATTGCAGGAGCTATCTGCCTGAAGGCCATGGGAAAAATGCAAGCTAGAATTTAGATAAAGTCACAGAGACAGCTTTTCACTCCATTACAAGTGGAGGTCCTCTTAGAGCAGTGGTTCTCAACCTTGGCTGCACATTAGAATCACCTAGGAATCTTTTTAAAATCCTGATTTCTTGGCCTCATCCTCCGGAAATTCTGTTTCTTTGTTACCAATGTTGTGGCCCCACCCCATAACAAAGAAACAGAATTTCCGGAGGATGAGGCCCAGAAATCAGGATTTTAAGATTCCCAGGTGATTCTAATGTGCAGCCAAGGTTGAGAATCACTGTCTTACAGGCTGCCTACCATTGGCTGGCTCTCCTTACGGTTGCAAGATGGCTGCTAACAACTGCATCACCAATCTTCTCTGAGATAGGATGCCCCAAAAAGACCTTTCTGGCCCTGCATTGAAAACTTTTTTGGTTCCCTTCTTCACACGTCAGTTTAATTAGCATGTATTGAGTGTTTGCTTTTGTAGGCTCTTTGCTACTTGCTAGGGTTACATGGAATCCATGTAATGGATCATGTCTTCAGAAAGCTAACAAGTCTTATAGAATAGATAGATAGATATATGCAGCAGATAATTGCACTATATAGTGGGTGATTGAAAGTCCCAGGAGCTGAGGAATCAAGCAAGAGAAATGAACTGGAGTTACAAGAGGCAGATGAAAAAGTGGTTTAGCTGGATTTGGGAGGATCATTTGGAGGTAGGTGACTTGATTAAATGTTACAAAAAAGTACTGAGACTAATGTATAGTTCCACTACCCAAGTGTTAACACTTTGCTATGTTTATTTTTAGGTTTCTTCTTTTTTAAAAAAGAAATCATTGAGGCAGGATAGTAAGAACCTAGGAAAATTCCTTGGCAAGTGGAATGGGGAAACTGAGACAGCTGAACAAACTGGCTGAGCAATTTACCCCCAGCTATAGGTCATCTCCCTAGAGATAACATCTAGGACTAAGTTGTATTTCAACACCAGGCCCAGAAAAGCAGCAAAACCAGGTGGCCATCGCCAGGATCAGCTGTAGTGACTAATGATCCCCCTGGTGCCAACCAATCAGTGGAGACCACGAGCCTGAAAGGGTACACTTGGAAAAGCTGATGAATATTCTGTTGAGATCCTTCCTTAAGACTGCTTCTAAACTCCCAGCCTTTAAAAAACCTCAAAACGAAGGTTCCAAAATGAATGAGTTCCCCCTCCCTGGAGCGTACCCCTGTCTTTCCCTCCCCGCTCGTCTTCCCCCATGAGGGTGCATCTCCTAAACTCCAGGGGTCCCCATGAGCCTTGCAAGCAGGGGAGCAAGAGGCAGCAGCAGCTCCTCCCAGGCTAAACCCCTGAACCTGTCTCCAAAGCCCCTTTTCTCTGACTTCCCAGTGAGCTAAAATACCTCCACCTAGGCTCATTTCTTTCTTATAGTATTTCCAGAGAGCCAAAGCAGCCCCACCTATGCTCTCCTGTTGCTTTTTCTGTCATAAGCCCTTGTTTCACGGTCCTCAGCTTTAATAAACATACTCTCAAAATCACCTGGATTAATGTTATGAAATTTTTTAAAAAAATATATTTTATTGATTTTTTACAGAGAGGAAGAAAGAGAGATAGAGAGTTAGAAACATCGATGAGAGAGAAACATCGACCAGCCGCCTCCTGCACACCTCCCACTGGGGATGTGCCCGCAACCCAGGTATATGCCCTTGACCAGAATCGAACCCGGGACCCTTCAGTCCGCAGGCCGACACTCTATCCACTGAGCCAAACCGGTCTTGGCTATGAAATTTTTTTTGCACGAAGTCAAGGACCCACACATTATGGGCCAGCTTGAGGCAGACCCACTAAGGGCCAGGTCCCCTTTCCGGTAACATCATGATAGATCTGAAGTCCTGTTATCCCCTCTCCCCATCCATCCTGGCTTCCACCTCTCCCGTCTCCTGCCCTCATAACAAAATCACATGGTGTGTCCACCTATTCATGTAGTTCATTTTCTATACACAAGTTTTCCATAATCAGGATATACTGTTATTCTATGTACTTTTAAATGTACGTATATTTTACAGTGTAATTTGTTGGCATGTCGCCATTTTAGTAATTCATGCTATGAGCTATCAAATGTTGCTACTTACTAGTTTCATTGTAATATTTTATCTTGGAAACATGTCACATCATCCATGTCGTATTGGACATTTCTGTTATTTTTATTTATTTTTTAGAAGGGAGCAGGCTTGAATATAAGCATGTCTTTTTGTGTACACCTGTAGCAGTTTCTGATTGTTTTAGACATGAAATTGCTGGGTCACCCCCCAAAAAGTAAACCTACTTAAAGATTATCATAAAAAAAATTTTTTTTTTCACCGAAGTGGCTGTTCTGATGTTACACTTCACCTGACATCCCTAAGAGTTTCCCAGATTTCCCCCTCCCTGAAATGACCAGACTGCAACATTTACCCGGAGTTTTCAAGCGGTCACGTGAGCAGATAATTTCCGTGTAACTGGATTCACGCAAAAAGGCCGGAAGAGGTTTGATTGTGAGAGGGAACTTCGAAGGGTTAACGGGAGTGTTTTGCGGGCTCGGTGCTACCCTGGTTTCCTGCAAAGGGAGGAGGTAACACAGCGAACCGGCACACGGCGGGAGCTCGGCAGGGCCGACGGCTGGGTGGTCCACCGGGCAGTGCCCAACTTCACGCGCACCTCCGCTCGCCCGCCCCCAGCTCCTGACGCGGTGCGGACGTTCGTGACCCCCGCACCGGGAGGAGGGGCTCGGCCCCG